CCGTCTAATATAGTGCCTACCAAAGTATTTATGTGACCTGTATTTTTGATCCCATAGCATGGCATGCCATCCTATTTCTAAGTCATGGCCTTCTAAACATAGTATTCTCCTGTTTTTTAAGAGTACCCAATCTCGTACCCATGTTAGAACTATGGCCTGATAGTATTTTTCCATATCAGGGAGGCCAACCCCCCCCCCCCTTTCTTTTAAATCCTGGAGCAATTTCAATCTAATCCTTGCCTTCCTTCCCTGCCAGATAAACTTGAGAACAATTCCATTAAGATTTTTAAAGAATTTCTTATCCAGCTTTATGGGTATACATGGGGCACGATCATTTTAAGAGGGAAAAAAATCTACTGGATTACAATGCCCTCTTTGCCAATGCATCTGGGTAGTAACAGGTTGAGTGAGGCTTTTTGAGTAAAATAGAAAAAAATGTATTTATAATGATTAAGTAGAATAGATCACAGAAATAAAAGTTGTAAACATATAATAAGAGGTAATACGACCACAGAATAAGAAGTAAATTTATCATTATACTTATAGCTGCTGTAAAACTGCTGTAAAGCAGAAACCACTGTAATTTTTTTCTTTTTTTTTTTCTTTCTTGAACTTTTAGCTTGCACTTTGATTTTCTTTTCTTTTCTTACTTTATATTAGTATTAGTTTTTATCTTCCTTTTAAAAATAATATATATAATTATTATCTAATTATATAATATATAATTTTATATGTATATAAAATTGCTTGCTTCAAACCCATTCATACACAATGCAATATGGTTATTCTCTGTCTATTGCCAAGAGACAAAGGGGAAGAAGCAGCAGGGGCCACAGGGGATATCAAAAATAGGAAAAATGGAAGTTGCAGCAATACCTGCATGGAAAGAGGCAGGACATCAAAGAGATCTCTCTTTTATGCATATGCTGGTAAAGGAATTGTAATTTGTAAAAAATTTTCCAGTCCCCTTATGTATGTGTGTTTAACCTAAGCAACCTCCAAGATTTTGTTCTGCCAACTTTCAATGTGACATCATTCTTTTTCTGGCCCCCTACTATAGTTCATAAGGCCCAAATAAAACTCTTAGCATGCAAATGCTTGTGCACTAGATCTAACTGAAAGTTCCTTTCTTATATAACTCACTTTCTCAAATACCATCTTGAAAATTGCAGCCTAATATTGAGGGTAGTGTCTTATGACAATATAAAAAAGAGCAAAGGCAACAAATAGATGCAAAGTGGAATGTGAAGTGGTTTTATCAACCCCTCTTTTTAGTCAATTGGAATTCATCCTTCTCTGCAGGATATATTTGCAACTTTCACCACTTGCTGAGCACGATTCCCAGCTCTGGCATTTGGAAACTCCTGCAGTGGTTTTGGGAATCTTTCAGGATCCATTTATCATTGGCTACAGGACAATGTAATGTTCTTTAACGTTACGGGAGATTATGAGTCTAACAAATATAAAATAATTGGTCTGTGCTTTCAAATGTGCAATTCAGTTCAACAAATATAGAATTTTCTATCCTTTTCCATCTAATCAAAATAAAGATGATTTCTAAATTTTCTGAGGAATTGTTCAAGCTTCTGCTATTTGTATGGCAGTTAATGGATGAATTCCTTGCATAAGGTCCTGGACAGGATCTTGAATTTTCTGCTCCAAGTTTCTCTTGTGCCCTTTTATGTATATATATTCAATTTATTCAATTTTTGCCACTGGTAACAATAAATTGTCAAGTTACCCTCCTGCTTTGAACTATACTGCTTGAATCAGACTTCGGGGAACAAATGGAAATTTCAAGAAAAAAGCATGTTACTTACCTTCTTGGTTTTTTAAGATCTCCTTTCCCAAGCAACAATTTGAACAATCATCATCTTGGGAAAATACTTCAGCAAAATTGAACTCCTTATCTGTGCTCCACCATCCTTTACTTTCTGCATAACTTCTAAGCTTAGGGTGTTCTGCATCAATTTTTGTAGTTAAGGAAAGACAGTTGCAAATGCACTTTACTCCATCTATAGAAACAAGAATAAAACATTTAAATAAAATGTGACATTTAAAAAACTAAAGTGAGATCAATTTTGCATTAAATAAAATCCTGTTAGCTAAATGCTAATGTTGTAACAGACTTAGAAAGTTGCTTCACTGAACTGTGCAAAGCAGTGATGAATTGATTCTTTCTCACCTTGCTGCTTTTATAATAAATGGCAAAGCTCCCAGTTCTCTCAGGTGTCTGTCACGTTTAAGGAAAGTAGTGAAAATATCAGATGCACAGAGTGGCTAGATTGATTTACAACTATGCAGATATACCTAATATATAAATCCCATTCAGAAAAATAATCAACATATTTGCTTCTTTAATCAAACATGCTTGGCAGCTTGTAAGCCAAGATAGGAGACTGGCCTCAAACGTCCCTTTTTTTTTATTAGAAAAAACAATAGTTTAATCTATTCTCAAGATGGAATAAAAGAGGCTTGCCTGGCTAAGGCTAAAAGAGGTTTATTGTGCTTCACTCTTTCTGGTTAAGAAGAGTTAATCTGAAGGCAGAGAACAGGGAGACTACTGGAGAAATATAATGGAACTTATGGATGAGGGGAAAAGATGCTGCCTAGGGAATAATCAGACAAGAAAGGAAAGAACCCATAGTCACGTAAGGGTCAAAAAAAGAAATTTAGGAAGGACCCATCCTAATTGATCAGATGGTTAAAAATGGTGATGGGAATTTTGTACTGTCAGACTTGCAAGATTCTGTTAATGTAACCTTATAATAAAGTAACTTTAGCTCATATAATTGTGTTTCCTGTTTGGTTTACCTAAAAAAGAAACAAAAGAGGTGAATGAGAATAAGAGAGAGAAAATGAACATAACAGGCCAGAATGAGAACTAGTGGAACCTCAAGAACAGTGTAACACTGCAAATGGCAAAACTCTGAAAAATGGAAAGCAGTAACACCAGTGGATGGAGAAGTAAACTGCCTAATGCTGTGGTAGAAAACAATGCATTGGGGTGAGGTGGGGGTAAAAATTTAGGCTGGCAGGAAACACCAGACAGCGAGGCCAATATTTGTGTGGTATGTGTGTGGGCATGGGTGTGTGAAGCAAACAGTGATTTGTCTTATTATCTATTGGCTATTCATGACTTAAATCCAGGAGTGTTTCATGGGAAGAGTGGGTTTAAAATAATCAAGATGGCAGTCATGACTACATGATTGAAGCGCTGTCCCTTTTACACATGCACTATGATCTGAATACAAAAAAGAAAATCTTTGATCATAGGATTTTGGTTTCTTAGGTTTTTCTGCATTTCAACCATCCCTCCCCTTATTCCAGACTCCTCTGGATAAATCTCTTAATACTATTTAGCCTAAAACCCACTTCGGGGTACATTTGTCCTTGAAACTCAGAATTCTCTATTCCAACTGGCAACAGTTCTCTGAGGTCTTCAGCAGACCTGACTTGGTCATTCAGCAAGTTCAATTAGTACCAGGAAGAGTTTGGGAAGAGTCTTTGTCTATTAGTTAAAGGATATCCCAGGCTGGGTTGTTCTAGGATACTTATGCGATGGGGGAATTCTACGGTGTGCCCTGGAAGTGATCAGAGTGAAGCCCCTCTCTGCACTCCCAGAGAGAGGTGAGCTAGCCATGCTGATCACTTTTTTCCTTGAGCATCAACTTGCCAGAAGCATTGGGAGAGGATGACAGAAAGAAAGTGTGGGTGGTGAGTGAGTCTCTTCCAAGCATGTTTATATTTGGATCTGTGAACTTCTGAACAGCTCATTAAAATCAATATAAGTTAAATTATTTACTATAATAACAAAACTCCTGGTGGTATCAATGGTCAAAGTGTGACAGAATCTAGATTCAGTCTAGATACAGTTTAACTTTTTGTTAAAGAAGCTCATTTATATAGGAGGATTGGCTGCTGAATATAAAAGTGGTGGAAGTGAGAAAGTTAAGAGGCTGATTCAACTCTTCTAGAATACTAGCTAATATTTTTGGCCAGTAAGTACAAAGCAGTGTTCTCACAAATCTCTTACTCACCCACCTCTTCTGTATCCGTGCTTTAGGTTTTCCAGCTTTGTGCATGCATTGATACAGGATTGCCTACTGCAGGCAGCTGAAACAGCCTGTCTGAAGCCCCCTTATGGAGTGCCTGAATGTTTCCAGGCTGATTCCCTTTGGTGCGTGCTATAATCCCGCAATAGAAAAAGAGAGAGCTCCAGGCTTTCCTGCTTCAACAAGTACCACAAAATTGCCCACAGTGTGACCATCAAAGCCATCACCCTGTAGTATGTTCTCATGGCCTGAAGATCTTGAGCTTCAGATAAGAATCTGGGCAGCCCAAAACTACTCAGTCTGGTAGTACTTTGGCCTAGTAACACTATGAAAAAAACTAAGCAAATTCATTTCCCACAGAATAGGCCTGACATGGTCAAATGCCACTCAAATTGCTTTGTAGATGCAATCAAGTAAACTTTTCTTCAGCAAAGAAAATAAGATCACTTCCATGGCCCAACTCACACTGTTATAGTGAATTTTACTTAGGCCTAATGTGTATACTGTAGTCTTTTCAAAGTCAGAGAAAGACTGTTTTCACTCTTTAACAGTTCTAAATGATTAATTTGAAGATGCTTGTACCAGTCAATTTAAAGTTCTTTTGGAACTCAGGTCCATTTTGTTCTTTGACTTTCAGATTTGAAGATTTCTAACTTCTGTTTTGTAAGCTGTCTGGAGAACTTCAGTTGGGTGGTGATACAAAAATATAAGTACATGTAAGAAATAAAATCTGAATGTATACAGTGTCACATTGGAAATGCACATTTTATAATATTTTCTTATAAGTAATGGATGGGGATAAAAATTAAAATTAAAGCAGACCTGTAATTTTCTCTGCTGCCCAATATTTTCCAACAGTATCCAACACCCAAGCTTCTTTTCTGTCTACTATCAGATAAGCAGACAGGAAAGTATGGCACATACTTCCATCTTCATAGTAATTTCCACCTTGACCATATTCTTCCAGCAGCGAGACAATGATATCCAAGGCTTCTTTAGCAGTTGAACCTCTTTCAAGCCCAAGTCTGGGAAGAGAATCAAAACAAACAAACAAAAAAGCTATCTAGTTAAAGAAGCACTTGGAATTTATCTCTAATTTATATACAGAAAAGAAGAAAACAATGTAGCTATCTGTTGAGTAATCAAAGTTTTAGAGTGTTTTTCAAACTTGGCAACTTGAAGATGTGTAGACTTTAACTTCCAGAATTCCTCAGCTAGTACGCTAGTTGCCAGGTTTGAAAAGGCACTGGTTTAAGCAAACAATGATTGCACATGTTTGCTGGGGCGTTGTTGTACTGTTAACAGCACAAAGTCAACTGTATGACTTTGCATCAATTAACCTTGCATCTTGAAAAGAGATGTTCTTATCAAATATGAATAGTGGAATAAAAACCATTTTCCTGTCAATTTCTTTTTGCAAATATTCTTCAAGTATCATACTCTCCATGCTGATGCTGTTCAGCTATGTTGCTATTATGTTAGTAAGCTCCCAGAAAACACAGCCAGCATCTGGCTCAACAAACACAGAGGGTGTAGGTTGGGGAAATCTATCTTGGCTATTTCCTGGAGCTCTAATTTGTATCAGCTGTAGATCAGCTGTATGAAAAAGAGAAAAGGAGGAAGAGAAGGAAAATAATTTTGCAGTGGAGAGTTGGCAGTCAGAGGAAAAGAGTAAATCCCTAAAATTGTTTATTATTTTAAAAAATGTAGCCTGTTAATTTCAAATCTATTTCAGATAGCTTTGCAAATTGTTGTCTTCTATGGACAGGGTGTTGGATAAATATGAAGGATTTGTGGTCCATTAAAATGCTTACATGAATAAAATAACTTACTGAACAAAATTCTACTTAACAGGAGAAGGAGGCAGAAATACGAGCTACTGACTTTAAAAAAAGTGTTGAGAACAGTTTGATTAGCAATATGGGGTTATGATGAATTTGGGTTATAAGACAAAATGTCAAATATAATTACTATTAATCTAGGACAAAACAATGGAACAAATCTCTCTCTCTGTGTGTGTGTGTGTGTGTGTGTGTGTGAGAGAGAGAGAGAGAGAGACAGAGACAGAGACAGAGACAGAGACAGAGACAGAGAGAGATGGATTTTCAGGGCCCATAAGCAGACCTCAGAGAATATGTAGCTTCAGCTGCTAGATCTTCCCCATTAATTAAAAGAAATATATAATTAATATACTATAAGACACATTTGTATTATTTGTATTTGAATAAAATAAAATAAAATAAAATAAAAAATATACTATAAGACACTGATAGAAGAGAATATTTGCAGTTCAGGGTTGATCTGTGGGCTTCAACTCACAAAATCTGAAGTAAAAATTACATTTTGCATATAATCTGATAAATACAATTCATGTGCATCACTATATTTGAATGTATTTTATTTTTGAAACACAGAGTGACCAATGTAATAATATTACCAAAAGTACGTACGTACGTACGTACTTACTTACCTACTTACTTACCTACTTTATTTATTTATTTCCAGTGTCTTGTGTGATTTTCAAAACCACCATACCAAATGATACACTGTTTTTAATCTGCTGGTATTCTGGACCAGTCCCATAAATTCCTTGTTCAGAAGATGAGCTTCTCACCTCACAAGATCCATTCCTAGGAGGGCTTCGGTTTCAGGGGCTGCTTCTCTGGCTAGCACAGCTTCATTAGCAATGAAGAGTCCATGTTCATTGGCTCCCATTTCAGCCCCCCAGAGCCAGGAAGGTCTGCTCAGTGCAACAGCATTTGTCTTAGGTACTTGGTCTATTTCAATGTATGTGCACTGTACAGAAAAAAGGAGGTTCATTTATTTGTTTAATAGATGTTTATCCTACCTTTATTTTTTTTTATAAGTAATTCAAGGCAGCAAACATTCATAATGCTCCATCTTCCTCCTCTTTTTCCCTGCAACAACAACCCTGTGAGGTGGGCTGGCCTGAAAGAGACTGGCCCAAAATTACCCAGATGATTTTCATGTCTAAAACAGGACTAGAACTCATGATCTCCCAATTTTCAGGTCAGCAGTTTACTAGACCAAATTGACATCCAATTGTATCGTCTTAGATTTAACCGCACAAAAACTACTACAATCCTATAGAGATGTGCAGAATTTTAGATTCTGAATCAAAAAAAGGAACTTCGGAACATATATTGTCAATTTTTAATTGTGGACTTCTAATGTCATAAGTCATTTCATGTATGAGTTGGGTGGCTGTATAAATTTGTTTAGTAAATAAACGTAGAGGACCTATTTTCAAATCCTTACATAAAACAGCCCTTGGCTTAAGAACCACAGCTTGAATGGTATCTGCATACACTCCAGAGCACCTTTTTGTCTTACAGTCTGAAACACAGGACAGATATATTGAGTCACTGCACAACTCAAATATTTGAGATACCATAACCGGTACGCCATTTAAAGAAGAAGTAACCTCAAAGGTAAGAAACGGTCACTTTATATTATGGTTTAACATAATATTCAAACTCACAGTTAAAAAGAATAACAATGTTTTCGTATACAGCAGAGAAAAGTGATCTGGAGATCTTTAATATTTTAAAAACAAATGCATTGTATACCAACAAATCTCAATATTAGTAGCACTCCTGGAAGAGTAATCAAGTTGTCTACAATGACTTGATGGGACATAATAAAGAGGAAGGAAATTGGTTTGTCATGCCAACCTTTTGATTAAACTAGAATTAACATATCTGACTTCTAAGTTTTTCCATTTAAAAAAAATAGCACATCTAGTCATAATATCTGTGTGTGTGTGTGTGTGTGTGTGTGTGTGTGTGTGTGTGTGTGTGTGAGTGAATGAGTGTGTGTGTGTGCTTTGAGAATTTGTAAGATTTTAAAAAGAATGGAATGTCTATTTCCTTATGGAAAATTCTGAAATAATTTCCCATCAGCTATTAGAAATTATTCTAATAAGAAGTCACAATTTGAATAAATTAGTGGTAGACTGGCAGTGCTTTGACATGCAGCAGAAACATAACAATAATTCTTTTTTTTTTAAAAAAAAGAAAAAGGGAGGGAAGGAGGGAGGGAGGGAGGGAGGGAGGAAGGAAGGAAGGAAGG